CAGAGTATGTATTACTTCAATAACTCATCGTATATAAGAAATTTAGCATAAAAAGACTATTCTTCGCGTTTTAGAGCCTTAATGGTCTATTATTTGATAGGTTTTTGAGGAAATATAGGTTGAAAATTAGGTATATGCAATGGTTGTTTTCATAGCAGTTATTCTATGATAACGAGACATTTGAAGGAGAACTAGCCCACAGACACAAGTGAAGTATACGTTTTGAGGATACCAAACACTTTTTTATCATCATCCGTGATGATTGAAATATTCCATAACATATCGAAGAGAGTATGCGATGAATGAGACAATTTGCTGAATTTCCTGGTGATTTTATCCATTTCTGTGAAGTTCCTAGTTAAAATGGCTCAGTTGAAGATGTGATACTAGTTTAATTTACATTGTCACATAGAATTTCGGGAGACCGTAATTGCTGAGTGCATTACATTGCATCAGATTATCTCGATATCATTGTGCATTTGTGCCAGAAGAATAGTATAGATGGTGCTTCTACAATGCCAGACTGCTTCAAATTGGAATCACCTTTCTGTAGAATAGTAGCTCGCAGGTATGTCCTACAACTACTAAACGTGTTACTTAAGTTATATCAGTCTTAATAATTTTTCATGTTCACATCACTAACATATTCTGAGATGCCTAATGAATTACTTGTGACTATGAATGACATGAAAGGTGTACTTATGGCTCATGTTTCTAAAGCATTTATTATGAAACAAGTTATCTGTAGGGATTTTGTGATGTTCAGGTTACAATGCTTGTGTGTATGTAGTTACTGCATGCTATTGTACTTGAAGGGACAGTTGGTGAAAGTGAAGATATAATAAAGTTTTCTCTAAAGTCACTATGAATACTGCAAACTGTTGATAAGAAAGTGCATCAAGGGAATAAGTTCAGAATAGCTAGAAAACACTACTGCAGTTTCTCAGGATGCTGTTCTCCTCCTGGAATAACTTTTAATTGTGTGAGGGAATAGCACTTACAGATATATATGCAGTGTTCATTGTGAAGGGTCCGGAGTTTAACTTTTATGATAATCCGTTGTAATTGCTTGTACAATAATTGAACGATCGAAAATTTTGAAAAAGTTTTAAGTTACGATACTTCACGATTGTAATTTATAACCTAAGTTATTGTACCTGTAGAGATGTCATGCATTCCTTGTAAACACCCATTTATACAGTATATTAATTTATTATTTGCTTGGTGCTATACTTTAGAAGAGGAACAGTGTATGTCACAGTGAAAACCGCAGAAGAATGCTGTCATGAACGAAGAATGAGAAATGAGAATGAACCTTTTTCAGCAAAAGTAGGAGAATATAAAGCGTTTCACTTTTACATTACTCGTTTCTAACTTCAACGATTTAAAGATTACACTTTATTCACTTACTTGCAGATGTTCGGTGAAGTCAGTCAACTTGATCACAGCAATTACGCATCCCAGAAGTAATTACGAAAAACAATTGTGTGAAGACATTCCCTTAATATTTTCCATGAAATATATTTAACATCCTGCTTACCATACTTTTCTTATTCTATCTCATTGAAACTGAATTTGTCATTATGACGAGATGGAGGCCTGAGAAAGTAATTGTAGGCATAGTTCAACTTAGGCGAAATCGTACTAACATTGCTACAGCCCAACCTATTAAATTATTCCTCTCGTGTAGACTTCAGTTTACACTGTATGTTAACACCCATAGTCATATGGATTGACATCTTGCTTTAAGTGAAATAGTAGTAATACAGTACTTTTGATTACACTTAACTTCATACGAAATCGAAGTCAACTGCAGGGCCCTAAGTTCTATTCTTATTTGTCAAACACTGAAGTTAGGTATTTTTGTCATTAGTCCCTACAGATTCATCTATGACTAGGAGACGTAATCTGAGATTTTTTTCGACGTGACTGAAGTACTTATAATTCACGACTTATATCGATGGAAAGTGTTCCTACAGAATAGCACTTACGTATAGTAAGGAATTCATATCCTAGGGAGCACCGGTCTAGCATGCCGTACTCCCAACGCGAACACACGAACAGAAAGACAACAATCTTGATACGAAAAGTTTATTCTTATTGTAATACGAAAGTAGTTAATTTACACATCAAGAACATTGTTGATTTGAGCGACTACTTCTCCAGCGAACTCTGCGGCAAAACCCGTCCATATTTGTCGCAAATTCTCGTCAGGCCCGCATTCATAAGTCTCCTATTGGTTACGTATAAGTCACATTGATTTCGCGGCACAATTGCTGACGTGCTTGGAATTGCGTACGACTGGCGAGACCATGTCCATCGTTTACACTTCTGCAGCACATGATTAACTACAAAACGTGGAACAGTAAACGGAAATAGAATTATGCACACAATATTAAAGGATAAATAATGACAGTGCTTACGTCCTGTTTTCAGTTAAGACAAACCCTTATGAAATATATGTACATTTTAGTATCTACGAATTTCAGTCAGTTAGGAGTAGGTTAATATGCATTAACTATGGAGACATAAAATAGGGAATACTTCAGGTGGCAAACTAGTATATCTTACGTGTAAATGAATATACAAGTTTCAAAAAAGGGTATTTTACCTGTGAAACACGCCGTTCTTAAATGCACCAACAGCAAGTGTCGACAGGGATACCGACAAGTCTGGAACGTCATACAAGTACATGTGCATGCGCGCAGATCCACCTCTACTTGTCTCCCATTGTCATCCAAGAAGATGTAATCAAAAGCTTCAAACTGAAAAGAAGTCCATCGTCGCTTTGCATAATCAGCGATCACTTTCTTCGCAGTGTATGGCGTCAGCTGGCGTAAAAGTGGTATTATGCGTTCGGAACATGAATACTTGAGGGAACGCGACTGGGCAATCATGGACTCCTGCTCTATTCTAGAATTACTTAGTTGAAACCATTTGTAAACCTTCAGCATGCTTTTATGGAGACTATCTGATCTAAGCAAGTACCGCTTCATCTGCTTGTGAGAACTTTCTACTCGATTGTTGGTATCATTACCCAAAGTCAGTACATGTTCCCTGAAAGCTGCTGCCCACAAGTGTCGTCGACTCATCCAACGACGTTGTAAATACTGACTGACACCAACATCCAATCTGCTTATTACTCTGAAATAGAAGTTAAATCTGGAAAAATGAAAATATTAAAGGCATTACTCAGATCTCCTTGTACACTGAATTAAGCGACATAAGTAGTTCTTAACAATGGGATTCCGCGTCTAAAATTGAAATTTTTATTATGCTTTTAAATAATTTACTTTACGACAAAATGCACGACAAACATGAAAAGAACAAAGAACAATGTGCGCTTCTCTGTGTGTTAACTTCACTGCTCCTATTTCGGCTTGCGCACAATCCATAATGAATGTTTCTGTTTTAGAGGTGTCTTCCATTATTCTACGAAACGAGTCCAAAATCCAAACAACATCACGCTTGAATTCCTTTCGCGTCCAAGCAAATAGAACTGGTCTCCCACGACAAAAATTGTCTGTCACAACTAATTGAAACAAAGAATACCTGCATGTTGATTAATTAATTAATAAACTGACTTCCCTTTATTTGTGTTATATGTAGAATCGATGCCAACAACCTCCGGAAACTGTTTATACAAATCTATTTGCTCATAAGTAGAAAAACAGACTCTCATTAGTGAATTCCTTATCGGTTCATCTGAATAATACTCCAATAACTTCCCACGGGACTTAAGGGATTCAAAAATGTCATAACGGCTCGATATACCTGAAGTAATTTACATTTACATTAACGTTACCTTTATTAACTGAAGCTTTCAGATTTCTAACGTCATTAAGAGTTATGTCCTTGTGGAATGTTTCCTTAACATGCATAATTATTTCATCTGATGAGTGTGATTGGTGAAGAAGTGGTTCTACATTTTCTTTCTCTTCCGCTGATAGTCGTCTAGACCATGGATCATTCTGCATATACACCCTGGTGCATGGATGGTTGTGGACCATTTTGTGGGATGTTATCACGTATTCACTATAACGCAAAATTACGCGAAATGCAGACAGACAGTTGCAACATTTAGACCTTAAACATACATAATATCATAATACACTTCCTCTTACGACTTGTTCCGCAATTTCAGGCCAGCTTTTCCACGGTTCACGCCAAAAGTGCATTTAAAATAAACGTAATTGTACTTATATCTGTCGTCCCCTATTGTTTTGCTGTGAATATGCACATAGTG